CTCATATAGAGACATCACCATATACATGAAGGGCTTAAAATTTAGACCTATACTTGGCACTCAGGGTCGTTGAGCAGGGACTGGAATCTTTATCATGCCAATGCCTACCAAAACATGAACTGCATGAGCATGATGAGCTTCATGAGTTTTAAGGTCTCATCTGAAAGATGTAATTAATTAAAGCAATTAGTTAATGAATGGAGAAACAAAGTGAGAAGTCTTGCATGCATGAATGTACACTAATCCTGTTTTTTGTAAATCTGTAAAGTTTCTAAATGCAAAGAATATATATGTTAAATTAAGACAAGGTGAAAAAAATTACATATGTAGCTCAAGGGAGATTTTTTTTAAAAAATTCAACAGATTTTAAATTTTTTTGGTGCAAATCTAGATAGATCAGTTCTTGGTGTGTATTTTTAGATGAAATGCTTGGCAGTTAAATTGAGTAAGATACAGAAAAAACTTTTTTACCCTCTTTTCCTTTCAGATTTCCCCCCTCTCCTTTCATCAGTGTCATGCTTATTTAAGATCTTACTATCTGGGGGGTTTCTAACAGACTCAGATAAATGATAAAAAAAAATTCAAGTTTGTAAAAAAAAATTCCAGTCTGTAAATTTTCCTTTCTATAATCTATAATAAAAAATCAAGAAGAAGATAGATCTAAAAATTCTGATATGATATTTATCTTGTGTTCTAAATTTAAGGTTTACATCTGAAGTTGTGATGATAATGAAATTGGGTGAGGGTTTGGGATGGGAGTGGGGATTGGTTGGTGGTTAAGGTACTTAAGGATCTCTGTGACATCTCTGCAATCAGAGGGTACAGTAAAACTTGTCTAATCCAGGTGTTCTGTATTCTGAAATCTTGCCTATTACATTCTTTAATTTAATTAAGTCCCATTTAGTAGCAAATTCAGTTATAATCAGGAGAGCCTAATCCAGCCAATTTCTTTGAAAGTAGTGGTGTCTCCTATAAGATAATTTCACTGTACAGTTTCCAATCAATGTTTTTGGTAGAATTGATACTTATGCATGGTAGTTGATATTGAATGCACTTGAAACAAAATGGCAGCCCCCATGCAAACTCAGATTTGTGTATCAAGTGTCAGAATCCTCTGTTGTCAAACAAAGAACTTTTTTCCCATTGTAGAAGATAAAATAACCTATACCAGCCAGTTATCTTTGTGTTCTTTTTAAAACGATGAGCCAACTAAAGATGTCTATTTGATTGTTTACATTCCATGTCAGTTGTGTTCTTGTCATGATAAGGGAGTTGAGCAGACCTCTAAAACGTAACGGTAACCCTTGATAAAAGAAGAATCAGTGTCTGTGGTAGATGTCGGAGCACATGGGCTTGACATTTGTGTTTTGGGGAAAATGTTTTAGAGGCGAGTCAATGATATTGAACAGAACTTGATTTCTGATTAGTGCTCTTGGTACAGGTAATTACAGGATTTTTGATTAAAGATGGAGAAAAATAGACAAATAATGATATAAATATACACTGTAACAGTATATTTTTAGAAAATAAAAAAAATCAAAGATTTTGGGGTAATAAAAGATTAAATCTTTTGAAGAGTCTGAATGAGACTTGAGGCTTTTATAATGCAAATTAATTGAATTCATAGTAGAGAATGTCTTTCAAGAAAAAAGTTTATCATAAAACAACATTATACAAATTTTCATTAGCCTATAAGCTTTTGTTTTACACAATTTTACATCTGATATTTTTTTCCTCTTCTTAAACCATTCACATGACACTGTATAGACCCATTAATTCAGTCAAATTATGCATGAAAATATACAGATTGCAGGCATTGCTATCAGTGTGTAATTTTTTCCTATCTATACACAGGCAATTAGGATGGTTGCCTTCATATATTACAAGAATAACACACAAGATAGGCCTTGGAAATTAGATATGCAGAGAAATATGCACACCACTGCATTTCTTATTTGAATTAATTAAAATACTGTGAATGTCCACAGGGCCATAGCATATATTACAACTAAGCTAAACATGTTACAGAAACTTTGTACCAAAAAGTGCAAAGGGGTGAAAATTCTAGATCCCCCCCCCCCCCCCCCCCACATGACCTAGTAACATTTAACAAACCCCTGTAACGTTGGCATTAATTAGTCTGTAATATAATTAGTTTTTGCACTTCATGACATGACCAAAGTCCTATGATGGTCTTAAATGGTCTGGTCTATTTCAGGGCCTATTCTGAGTGACATTGGTATATATATCAGTCATAATCTTGACTCACTTCCTCCTTTACGTTTATCACTTGTGGTGCCTTTGTCTTATGTGGTCTCTCGTGGTTTTGGGCCTGTTTAGAGGTTATCCAGCCTTTGATTCATTTCCAGGTGTTTGTGCAGGTATAAGATAGCCCCCCTTACAGGATTTACGGGTGTAACACTACAGCATAAGACTTAAGTTCCTTGGAGTATTTTAGCTAGGTGTCACTCAGATTCAGAAGTGGATTTTGTGAAGGGAAAAGTTACATTAGAATCTTCAATGTTCAGTTACATTTTATAAGATGTTTATGATTGCATGGCTGTTTTGAAAGGTGTTCATACTAATTTTCATACACTACATGCATTTTTGCTCATTTTGATGTTATAAATTAAAAAGGTGATTATCTCAGAATATTTTGTATGGTGTGTATAATTTGATTGATATTTGTAAGATGTCCATATTCAGCTAGAGATGGTCAAGCTGTAAGTATTGATGAGGTCACTTCAAAGTTTTAATGCCATGGTCATCATTCATGAAATATTGCTAAGAAATTTTTCTTGCATTCTGAAAAAAAGTCATAAAAAGACCAGATTTCATTTATGATTCAGTGCAAGGTAAATTTGTATTAGTCAGTATTAAAGTTCAAGTTCATAAAAAATAAAATCTTCATGCTGCATGCATAAAGGCCAAAAAACCTAACTTTATATATACTTTTGGCATGATAGCCTAGCACTAAATTTACAGGGCACAAAAAAAGGAACAATTTGCCTGTGCAATGTTGACAAAAAGTTTTAGATTTTAAACCCTTTCTTAAGCTACCTGAATACATTAATTAAAAACAGAATATGAACACCACTTTATGTCTGTTATAAAAGGTATAATGTCTTCCAAACAAAAATTAATCTTATTTTAAGGTACAGCATACAACACAAAAAAGACTATATCTGGAAATCTAAATGCATTTAAATGGAATTGTAAGAAAGTATAGTATGAGAAAAAAATGGGGTCTTCGTGGCTTATTAGTTCCCCCCTGTATTATTTTACATCAGGTTGTTAGCGGTTATGTCTGGTCCTTTGCTGAAAGGTATTGAAATGGAACGCTCAAAGTGAAAATTGAGCCTAATTTTTGATGTGATATTTTTGTGGATAGATGCGTTTAAAGGTATTTTTTTACAAATTTTTTTTTGTGTGTGTATGAATCATCTTGATTTCTGATATTATTCATATGTGCAGTATGTTTTTATGAGGGTGACTCAAATTTCAGGAAGGGTCATTTAGATTTACCAGGGTTTTAGAAAAATAGTAATTTTTCAAAACAAATAATATGCATTGCAGTAATGTACAAAATGACCCTCAATCCATTCCTCTGTTGCAGTAATCATTGTAAGCCAGATGTTTTTAGGAGGTCCCCCCACCCACCCCTCCAAAAAAGGGGGGAGTTACATTTTATTGCAGCTTAGCATGTTTTACTGACATGAGTTTCATTTGCTGCAAATAATGTCTTTGACTTATTGCTAAGAAAATCTCAGTATTAAATGCGACAAACACTGCATGACCTTTTTGGAATTGAAAATTAGGGCATTGGGGCAATATAAAGAAATTTCTTGTTGACACATATCCCTTACTATTTTTAATGAATTGTGCAAATTAAGTTTGAGCGATTCCTTAGATAATTTCCAAATTATGTTAATTAACCCATTACCCTGTGTTAAGCTTAATTGCATTGCACCAAGAAAGTTTGACATTGCAAGGTTTTGTATGCTGATCTCTTCCTTATTTAATTTTTTCTATACCACTTTCAGTTGCCAAATCTGATATAAAGATAAATTGAATTTTGTTCTATGTTTCCTTTTACAGAAAAATGAGGAACTGTTGACATTTGGCGTGTGACATTCATTTAAATACTAAATGGCTTAGAGTTTTAAATTATTCTTGTTAAAGTTCTTGAATATCAATTAAATAAAAAGTTGAAACTTCAAAATTTCAATTACAGTTACATCTATGTCATTTGCATTACCATTTCCCTTATTTTAGTTTCATAATCTCGAATAAGAAAGTGGCTTCCGTATCCCCCCCCCCTTTCCATTCAATTGAAGTTGGAACTTCAACATTTCTTCTATGTCATAAGAATCACCATTTCCTTATTTTAATTACCAGGGTAGTTCAAATTCATAATCCCATATAGGAAATTTCTGTCTCCAAAATGAACACCCCCCCCCCCCAAAAAAAAAAAAAAAAAAAATTGCTTTTTGCTTTTGAGACAGAGAGAGAGAGAAAAAATAGCTAAGATAAATAATTAGATTTTAAATACATTCTAGCCCCATTCTCTCAAACTCACTGGGACTAAGACAAAAACTTTGAGATACTACAGTATCTTAGGATTAGAGACACTTTGTGTGAAATAATTAAAGGAGTTATAAGTGATTGGGACTCCAAAATCACTTCCATGGTACTCTAGATATTGGAGTGTTCATGATACTTAAGCTCAACTGTATTAGATGTTGTATACTCTGTTAACAAAACTTTTAAATTTTTACTTTTTAGGCAATCTTTCAATTAAATAAATTTAAAACTTCAAAATTCCTATCATATCTATTATATCATTAGCATTTAGCATCACCCTTTCTTATTGAAGAAATAAGAACGCTGCTTCTGATTTCTGAATATTAAGAGATGTATAACCCTGGTATTCGAGATATCAGTTCTACTGTAATGTTGTATGCTCTGTTGATGTCAACATTTTGAAATTTTATTTTCAGGCAGTCTTTCCCCAGATGGAGAGAAAAAGCCGACACAGGCCCTACAGCTCAGCCTGGAACTGGCTCTCAATGAGCGAGATCTGATGCTGAGGGAGAACGCCAAGGCCGTCGAGGAACGCGATCAGGCGATCAGACAGCTAGAGCAGCTCAGGAGCGAGCACAACTCAGCGTTAACGAGTCTAGAGAACATTACAGGAAAACCGTCCAAAAATACAAACTCGTAAGTCAATAGAGAACTTATTAATAGGAAAACTCAAAGAATACAAACTCATAAGTCATAAAAAAGTGGAAAATAATAAATCTGTGTAAATAGAGAACTTAACAAGAATACTAACTCATAAGTAAATAGAGAACTTACATCACATGAAAACCCTCCAGGAATACAAACTCCTAAGTCAATATAGAACATATTAACAGGAAATCTGTCCAATAATACTAACTCGTAAGTCATCAAAAACGGAAATTGTAAATCAGTGTTTTATAGAGAACATAACAGGAAAACCGTCCAAGAATACTGACTCGTAAGTCAATAGAGAACTTATAAACAGGAAATCTGTCCAATAATACTAACTCGTAAGTCATCAAAAATGGAAATTGTAAATCAGTGTTTTATAGAGAACATAACAGGAAAACCGTTCAAGAATACTGACTCTTAAGTCAATAGAGAACTTATAAACAGGAAAACTGTTCAAGAATACAAACTCGTAAGTCAAAAGAAAAAAACAGAATTTAGTGTTACAGGAAAACATGCTTTTATATAGAAGTTGCTTCATGAAACGTACCATTTAGTTTCACAATATGTTTTAATGCTAGGGGAATTAAAATCACTTTGCTGTAAGTTTAATTTAAGTGTGTTTGCTATAAGCGTGTTTAACTGTGATAGAGAACTTAACAGGAATATGGTTCAAAAATACAAACTCACAAGTCATAAGATAAAGAAATTCTATAAGCAGTGCTTATAGAAAACAAAAAAGGAATAATAATTGCAAACCATTGAAAAAAAAATGTAATTTTCTTTAATTTAAAAATTGTAAGAGATTGATGTGAGACACAGTGGTTATTAAATAATCTTTATTTTTGAACTGTGAAGTGAGGTTAAAGTGATTTAAAATTTTGGATGAAAGTTATTTAGTTTGCAAAATATACTAAAGGAAACTAATGTGATGAATAATATTCAATTTGAGCATATTTAAATTTACAAGATATATCATATGATAATTTCAAACTAAAAAATCCATTTAAAACTTTTTTAAAAAGATGTTTAAGTTGCAATTGCATGGTTAAAAGAACAAACATTTTGTCACATTTAATAAAGGATTTCAGTTTGAAATGAATTTGGATTTTTTGGCAATTTGTAACATTTTACATACTTGCAGTAAAATTTGATTTTTATTGCCAACACACTTATAAAGAACATAAAAAAGAAGAGATTTCATAGCAAGTCTCAAAATATATTACAGACTAATTGGATATATAGCAAACATCATAACTGATCAAATTCTTTTGTCCCTTGCACTTTGCTGAAAGCATGCTTTACATTATTTGTGATATTACCACTTTCGATTGAGTTTATAAGGAGTTATTTTTTGTGTCTTATTCTAAAATGTTCATTGCTTCTTACAGAAAGTCAACAGAACTGAGCCCTGCAGCACACAGAAAAAGTCAGAGACTCCTAGAGAAATTCAGAGACATGGAGCAGGAAACTGATCATGAAGATGTAAGTCTAAACTTTACTTTATAGCAAGAAAAAAAGGTCACATTTATAGCTCTACTGGTCTGAGAAATCGTCTCTGACAAAATGGTAGAATAGACAGCGATCGAAATCTGTTTACAGGGTAATCAGAAATTAAACACATTTAGAAAAAGAAAATGTAGTGTCTTTAAACATGACACAAGTGAAAATTTAGAGAGACTTCTTTGAGTTATCTCCCTTTTGCTCTGAGCAGCCAATATTGTTGCGAGTTTTTCATAAGAAATATAGCAAATGTTTTGATTCATTATTAAAGGGCTTTGTGAAAAAACCTCAAAAAGTAAAGGTAAGCTTCCTAATTTGCATGATGTGAGTTTTTACCCCAAACCTTTGATGTCATGAAATTCACATTTCATATTTTTATCACAATTACTAAGGTTTAAAATAATAAATAATATGTAGCTGCACATGCAGTGATAATTAAAATTTTGAAATATTTAGTTGTTTACTGTAAACCAACATTTTCGCGAAGTTGCGTCAGAATATTTCTCGCCGCGAACCGATTCTTAAAGTCTATATTAAAATTTTAAAATATTTAAATCTAAAGTCGTCGCGAATAAAAGTTGGTTTACAGTATTTTATGTAAAATTTTAGCTTTGCACTGGGGGTGGGGGTAAAAAATGAAAATATATTTTTATTTTATGAATTTCATGATGTCATTGAATTTTATAATCCTGTTATAAAATAATTTGATGTACTTGTGTAACCTTAGTAACCTTAATTTATATGTTCTTGGCCTGGATTACCCCCCTATTTTCCCAAACTCTTCTAATTTTTGAAATTTTCGTCTTGCATGAAAATTATGTATTTTCTTTAATCCAATAAAAAATTAAATTAAGCATTTAAAACGTGCTCTGGACTTAAAAAAATGTGCATGGTTGGCTTTAATTAATTATTTTAATTTTGCATGCTGTTTTGTGTATGAGAGTGAAAATGAAAGGTAGGAAAGGGAGATTTTTGGTTGATGGTAAAGAAGTAATGTTAGAAAGGAGGAGGGGGGCTTAGAGAGTTGGGAAAGAAGGGGATTTTGATGAGAGGAGGTAGAGGAAAAAAAAGAAGAAAACTAGGTGTGGAAGAGTGAGATGGGGTGGGATGGGGTCAGGGGGGGGGGGGGGAGAAAGAGGGATAGGTTAAGAGAAGGCCCCTCTTCACCATCCTGAGATAGATTTTGCTGAATTTTGAAAAGTCATATTGCATTAACTAAATAGAGTTTATAAATTAAACTCAAGGGATGTTTTGAAGAAATCAAATCTGCAGTATTTTGTTTGTGACAAAATCTGATATAACATATTTATTGATGCAGGGTACATTAAACAATAGTAAAATGCAAATGAATTTTAAAATAAACCATTTGTGCCTCAAGTTGATGTCTGATTCTGAGGAGAATTAAGGAGATAGATATATGTGCATTTGATTTAAAGACCCAATTTTTTTACCGTACGGTTACCTGAGGAGGGGGAGTGGTCCAAGTAACAGTGGTGTTATTTACCTGGAGACCCCCAATACCCAAGATGTAAAAATCTTTATACACGTAGCATTACACAGGAAGTCTGTGTCTGGTGATCAAGGTCAACATTCCGTGTTTTGTGTCTAAATTTGAGTGAAACTACTTGAAATAACAGATATTTCCATATAAAATTTATTATTTATACTTTCAGCGATATCTAATGAAGAAAAAAAGTTATAAAGAAATATCGTTTTTATATTTTGAAAGAATGTTGAATTAAAGAAATGAACACAGAGTAAAACTACAAAGAAAACATTTCTTTTCCTAATTAAACTTCTGTAAATATTAAAATAAAAAAAAACAATAAAATATTCCATTCATAGGCCTATCCGTCGTGTGAACATATATACAATGTACCGCGATTAGAATATCGCCTAAAATACAATATAGCCGTTAAGAAGTCACGTTAATAATTATCTACTCACAATTGTTTTTGAAATAAAATTTTACCAAGATTCTTTTTTTAACCCCCCTGTATACACGGCGGCTACATGAAAGTGTTTGACGCGTGACCAGGCAATCGTTTTCAAAAGCCACAAACTCAGACTATCAGGTAGCACGGGTAGCTGGCCTGTCAATCAAATCAGAAGCTATTGTTTTTTTTAATGATTGACAGGCGGTAAATTATTGATCTTGAATCAGGTAGATTTTGGGGGCGTTAACAAAAAATTGGGTGTTTAAGCTTTATGTAAGGACAGGATTTGATGAGGCTCCCCAGGCCTACTCTTGAAAGAAGATTGACACTTTCAATCATCTTCTCTGTCTGTCTGTCTGTTAGTAGACTTTGATAGTTGGTGTTAATGATATGCAGTTAAACTTTGCTTTCTTGAATTTCAATATCTTCAATATAATGGAACTGTGATGTCATTTGGAAGTCCCAATGACTTTTTCTTGATTTATTTTACCCTCATCATTTTCATTAAATTGGATTTGTATTAAATGAGGTTTAACAGGATATAATACTCTATATGAAAAATAAAATTCATTAAAAAAAAAAAACAAAACAAATTCAAATGACAGAAGCAATGTGAGAATAATTTAAAGAAAAGCTTGGACATGATAGGACAAATTTTGATACTTCAGCAAAAAATTTAAGACAGCAATTAAGGGACCCATTATCAAGTTGTGATAAATTTGTAATTCCAAGTCACACAAAATCTTGGGTGGGTTTGTGGTTTAGATGCTAATTGTGCTCTGTGTCTGGGCTGTATCAGTAAAACGCTGTCAGGACCCTGAAGTTCAGTGATAAAAACCCTTCTAATTTGGAAACTGTGTTATCAGCTTATTTAGGAGGGAAACAATTAAAATTACATGGCGGGACAGACTAATTTGAATTTATAATTAGAGGGGCACAGAGAAGGGGGGATGATGAAGCTTTAAGTTAATGTAGAAAGATGAAGGGGGAAGAAAAATTGAGATTCAGCATGTTTCTAGAGAAAAAAGAATTGTGTTGTAAGGTCTAAATTTTTTATAATAGATAATACATCAATAAAGAGGAGGAATGTTGTTGATTGAAGAGAAAAAGAAATGCTGGCCATTATTAATGAAGAAATTTTTTTTTTCTAGAACATACTTGATTTATGATAAGCTGCCATATTCAAGGTTGTTATTTGCTCAAAGTTAATGGTTTTCTTTTTTTAAAAATGAGGAAGGGAGAGATATATTTGTTTTACGAGTTTCCCCATTCCTTCAATGAAGCAGCTAGCACCCATGTACATAAGGTGAAAGAGAACAGTACCGACTTGTGTATTATATGGCTGGTCAGACGCCTATTTCAGCTGTCAATCCTTGTTACGAACATGACAAACGAGGAGAATCCGAGAGATAGGAATGTTTGTGTGTATAACCTTAAGGGGGCCTGGAGCAAACGTACGTGAGACACGGAAAAAAAAAAAGTGTATCTGGCTGTCTGGCTCTCTACACCTGTTGGGAACCCCCAGGTACATGCATGTTACAAGGCTCTGATACCCCTGTAATGTGACAAGGGGACCAGCTAGACCATAGGATTTTTTGTATTCGATACTGTTTGGTGACCCAGAGAGATTTTGGATGAAAGGTGTATAAATCAGGTTTATTTTCTTCACGTGCATGGATTTTTTTTAGCCCTGAGAGATTTTGCTGTCATGTCAAATCAAAATGATTGCTAAGCACGCTAAGTGCTCGTTTTGATTTTTTTTTTTTGGTTGTGTGCAAACTTGGGATAGTGCAGTGTTTCAAAGGAAGATTGCAGAGGAAGATTTTTAAGAAATTTTGATTACGGAGCATCAATTTCTTTGATGAAAGGATATAAAAGTGAAAAGAGTGTTTTATTGAACATCTCAATGAACTGTTTGTTGCAAGATAAATGAATTTGGGGAACCATAAGCAATATTGCTCTGCATGACTAAATCATTGATTCAAATTTTCTGTAGAGACATAAAGGAACTTTTAGATGGGATACCCTCCTCTGCAATGAATTAAGTTTCAAATTTTTAGTGCATAAAGACAGATTGTTTAAATTTGACAAATTGGTCTACCTAGATAGTGTTCGTGATACAGGTCAATTTGAAAATATTGATTTCACACTTGGACTTTTTATAGTATTTTCAAGTAGGACAATCTGAAAAGACCATTCATTCTTGGACAAATAAAGTATTTTCAAGCAGGACAAATTGAAAATATAATTCACTCTTGGACTTATTTTCATGTGACAAGACTGGCACCTGTTTAGGAGAGAGAAGTTAAACCTATATACACTGTATACAAAGGGTTAACAAGGGCAATTTAAATGTACATGGATCAAGCAGCTTTTAACCTTTAGATCAAACTTTCACTTTTATTCCTTAGGATTAACCTTCTCTCTTTCTTACGGAGACTTTAAAATTTTTTTCCAGGCTGTAGTTTTTACATGGCAAGAAAGGACTTGTGTGTATATATATCTGTTAACGCAGAGTCGTGAATGAAAAGTTAAAACTGATTTCTCTTTTTATCTTCTCTTTTTTATGTTATCTTTGGTGATCGTGTTTTGTTACGTAACCTGTTTAAAGAAAGCCAGGGGACTTAATCTGAGGAGGAATTTACATTGTTTATTTTTATTGTTTATTTGTTTGTTACCTGTTTGTTTACAACTTTACCTGGATAAGGTGAAACTATTAGAAGAAGAAGCTAACCCCAGCAGGGAGCAGTCATTATATATTTTCATTTCAAAGGAGAAGTCATTGTATATCTGTGTGTAGAGATTGCATCACTACTTTACACTGTGTTTATAGCAGGAGAAAGGAATTACAATACTTAAAAGCCTTTTAACTCAATTTACTTGAAGAGGAATTTAACAAAATAAAGAATTGAGGTGCAACACAATCAGCAAGATCTCTTTAAGCCATTTGGAAATTTTGTGACTATCTCAATTTTTTTTTCTTCAATCTCTTAAATGGTTTTAATACCTATATGTGAAATAGGCCTTGTTTTTAATAACAATATTAGTACAAAGAGAGTGACCACACGAGCCTGTCTATCTGATTAAAGGGACCTGATCAGAGAGAATTTACTTTCAGTTTAAGGGTAAAATAGCATGTCAATGACTGTACGTAATAGATTCCTATTTGATGACACATTGACGATTGGGAAAGCTGTCAGTGTGAAAATATCGACAGAGAATTCAATTTTTTTTTTGTTTGCAATCTCCTACCTGAAAGGAATTTCATTCTGCAAAGTTTAGAAATTTTTTTAGTGTCTCGATTTGATCCAGAGCTTTTCTGTTGTTCCAGAGAAGATAAAGAATTGAGAGAAAAAAATTGATT